GGTGGACATCAGCCTCCGCATCCACCTCATCCACTTCCTCCTTTCGGAAGTCGCCCCATGACCATTCCAGGGACGCGATTCGACAAGAACCCCGAAGCGATTCAAACCGCAGAGACGACCATCATCATCATCATCATCATCATCATCATCATCATCATCATCATCATCATCACCATCATCATCATCATCATCATCATCATCCTCATTCTCATCCCCATCCTCATCCTCATCCTCATCATCAGCAGCATCAGCATCAGCATCAGCATCATCAGCAGCATAATCAGCAGCAGCAGAGGCAACAGTATCATCATAATCATCATATATCCTCCTCATCATCGCCATCATCATCAGCAGCAGCAGCATCCTCATCATCATCAGCATCCTCATCAGCATCACCATCATCATCATCGGCATCATCATCCTGATCGTCCTCAGCACCATCATCATCATCATCATCATCACCGTCACCACCACCACCACCACCACCGCTACCATCACTACTGGGATCCGGCGGGATTAATAAATGGGATGTATCAGCATTTCATGAGATCCAGTGAGTTTGAGTGATCTTTAATGAAATTCAATGGGATTGAATGATAATTCTACTTAGTGAGATTTAATGAGATTCACTGAGAAATCAATAACAACGACGACGTCGTCATCAACAACCTCGGACGGCCCAAGAAAGCCCCGAAGACGGCCCCAAGAGCGCTCCAGGAGCGCTCCAAGTGGCTTCCAAGAGAGCTCAACATGGTCCCACACGGTCGAAGAGCGATCGAAGGCACCCGAGATGGCCTCCAGCTGGCCCAAGACGCCCCCAAGGGGCCTCCAAGATGCGTCCCCAGAGGGTCCCTAGACGCAAAAAAAATGCTCATTTCTTTTGTAAAACGTATATTTTCTCACAAATTCGCTTCGTGAGCTTTCCGACGCTCCAAGACGGCCCAAGAGGCCCCGAATACCGCCCCAAGACGGCCCAAGAGGCCCCCAAGACGGCCCCACGACGGCCCAAGATGGCCCCAAGACGGCCCAAGTGGTCCCCAAGACGGCCCAAGGCTCCAAGACGGCACCAAGAAGGGCCCAAGAGGGCAACCAAAAATTCAAAAATCTAGCTTTCCGCCCCCACGAGCCCCAGGGGGCCCCAAGAGTGCCCCAAGAGGCCGCCAGAGGCCCCCAAGAGGCCGCCAAGACGTCCCAAGGAGCCCCCAAGAGGCCCCCAGGAGGCCCCCAAAAGACCCCCAGACGCTTCCGTATTGCGAGCCGTCAAGCCAACTGCAATGCAGTCCGCGCATACAGCCTTACTCTCCCTCGTGACGTGCTCACTATCTTGCTCGGCGTTTATGTGCTGCTGCCGCGCGAACTGTTTCGTGCGCGCTGCGAACGTCAACAGCCTCTTCACCCGTTTCGACTCATCTGCCACATCTTTCGCGGTGATGCCTCGCTGATCACAGCTTCCGCAAGCTACTCTTGGTTTTTTCGTCTTCCGGTGGTCCTCCATGTGGTTGCGGGTCGAAAGGCCGACCTCCAAGAAGGACACCCCGCACCCGGGTGCACAGCACGCAAGGCGCTCGCAAAACACGCCCCAGACCACCGGCATCACGCAAACATTTGGACCCCCTACGTATCTGCCACCACCCGCGCGCGACACCGCACCCTCACACAAGACGCCGCTGGCCAGAAACTCCTGGCCTCGCAACAGTCACAGCAGGGGTCGGCGGATGCGGCGTAAGCCTGTAGAATCAATAACAACGACGACGTCGTCATCAACAACCTCATCATCCTACTCATCATCATCGGCTTCATCACGGTCATCATCATCACTATCACCACCACCATCATCATCGTAACCATCAAATAAAACAACACCATCACAACCGCCACAACCATCATCAGCATCATCATCATCATCATCATCATCATCATCATCATCATCATCAGCAGCATCATGACACGTATCTCTCCTCCGCATGCGCCTTCTCCTCCTAATCATCTTGCTCAGCTTCCTCCCACATCCTGCTCCCTCCTCCCCCTCCCCTCCTCCTCCACCTCCTCCCCCCCCTCCTCCCCCATCTCCAGAAGCCTCCGGACACTTCCAGGATGCCCCGAAAGCCCCCACCAGCATTGTCACTCCTCCCTTTCCCGGGAGCAGGGCGTCAGAAAGTCTGTCCAGCGTGCATGCACAGTGCGAGTGGGCGGGAGAAGCGTCGACGAGGAGGAGGAGGAGGAGGAGGAGGAGGAGGAGGAAGAGGAGGAGGAGGAGGAGGAGGAGGAGGAGGAGGGAGGAGGAGGAGGAGGGGATGGAGGAGGAGGAGGAGGAGGAGGCGGGAAAAGCGTCGACGAAAACAGCGACGGCAGAGAAGGGGGCTGCCTGCCTAACCTCTAAGGAGGTTCTCCCCCTTCTCCTCCTCTCTCCTCCTCCCTCCTAATCGCCCTCCTCTTTGGCACCCCTCCTCGTCGTCCTGCTCACCTCCCCACTGCCCTCCTCCTCCTCGTTGTCCTCGTCGTGCTCCTCTCTACCCGCCTCCTGCTCGCCCCCTTTTTCGCCTTCCTCCTCGGCCTCCTCTTCCCCTTGCCCTCGCTGATTGGCCGCCCTCCTCCCGCGCGCCCAGGCTGGAGATCCCTTGCGCCAGAGCGCCCCAGCCGAGTCCTTCTTAGCCTCCGTCGCGTTTTTGAAGATGGGTACGCCCAGGTGCGTGGTGCCAGCCTTAGCGACGGCAGCCTCCTCCTCCTTCTCCTCAGCAGCAGCAGCACCCCACCATCACTACCCACCACCACCACACCATCACCACCACACCATCCCTACCACCATCAGCATCACCAATACAACTATCATCATCATGGTCCTAATCTCCGTCGTCGTCATCTTCGTCGTCGTCGTAATCATCATCACCACCACCACCACCATTATCATCATCATCAGCATCATCATCATCATCAGCATCATCATCATCATCATAATCAGAATCGTAGTCATCATCGTCATCATCGTACTCATCATCAGCAGCATCATCATCGTCATCGGCATCGTCATCGCCACCATCATCGTCACCGCCATCATCATCAAAAGTATTATCATCATCAACATCATCACAATCACCATCACCATCACCATCATCAGCAGCAGCAGCAGCAACAGCATTATCATCCTCCTCCTCCTCCTCCTCCTCCTCCTCCTCCTCCTCCTCCTCCCGTTTTACTGAACTGACCCCTCCCCGCATCTCGCCTCGCCTCGCGTCTGCACGGGCTCCCGCTGCGAGGCGAGGGGGTCCCCACTACAAAACACCCCGGACTCCGAGGAGCACTTACGACGCTCTTGGGCGTAGGCTTGAGTCGGGCCAGTCCCCCTACAGGTATACTTGGACGAAAAACTCAAAATAGTCACCAAAAAGGAGAAGATAAAAAAAACAAAAATACTCCAAAATCGTCCCCTGACTATTTGTTGACTATTTTTGAATATTCCCCCTGTCGAAGGACAGGCCCGATTTAAGCGAAGGCGGGCGGAAAGGGAAGTTGGACGAGGGTACGTCGCAGCCGCCATTGGCCGTGACACACTTGAAACCGGCAAGCGGCTCTGATTTCCGGGGCCCTCATCTCCTCGAGGGGACCGCGCAGCCTCTCCCGAGGGCCTCAACACATCGGAGGACGAGGCGATAAGAAACCCTGCAATGCGCTAAGAGCGCAGCGGGGAGGGGCGTGGCCTCTCAGATGTCGAAGCACGCGTATTGATAGTTCTGTCAGTTTCGAAGGTGGAAAAAACACATCTGCCAGGGGCAATGGTGGCTCAAAAGGAACCTCTAGAATCGCATGCATTACCTTTCAGATCGAAGGAGGAGAAATTCGTAGAGCAAGGTCCTTGAGAAAATCAAGATGCTCTGGCACCCCTCTGGAAGCTTCCCGAGTCCTCCAGGAACGCCTGGAGGCCTACAGCAACCTCAACAAACCACCGGTAACCTACGAAGACCTCATTCGATCCCCCCCCCCCTTCCTCGAGCGAGCTCGAGGAGGGATCTCGGCGCTCTTCGCCCCTCTTGGGGGCCTCCTGCGCGGCTCTCGTGGCCACGGCTGGACTTCCCGTGAGGGCAGCGGGCCTGGAGGCAAACGGGCCCTGGACCCCGGGCCGTCCCCCGGGGCCAGCGTCTCGTCCCCAGCTGCTCCTTGACGGCCCCGGAGCCCGTGAAGGGCCCTGGGAACCCGAAAGCGGCCAGGGAATGGCTAGGGGGTGGCCAGGGAGTAGCTAGGGAGTGGCTAGGAAGTAGCTAGGGGAGAGGCTAGGGAGCAGCTAGGGAGTAGCTAGGGAATAGCTAGGGAGTAGCCAGGGAGTAGCTAGGGAGTGGCTAGGGAGTGGCTAGGGAGCAGCTGGGGAGTGGCCAAGAACCTCGGCACCCGTTTCCTGCGGGGCCTGGGGCTGGCTGGCCCAGGCCCTCCCAGCGTCGCAGGGCATAGCACGGCGGGCGCCTCCTCACAGCTCGGGCACCCCGGGGCCGCCTGCGAGGGCCCAGGAGGACACACGAGGCGGCCACAGATGGCCCCAGGCTCATGCCGTGGCGACATCGGCGTCGGCATCTGGCACCACGTGGATCACCCAACCTTGAACGATCGGCGGCCTCTCGATCGCTGGATCGTTCCAGATGGGCCGATCCTGAGCCACTGGCGGCGTTCGCACTTGAACGTCCACGCTGGGGTCGTGGCCTGAGACCGCCCAGAGAGGCACGCCCGCTCGAGGGTAGAGTTAGGTCGGGCCTGTCCCCCCTACAGGCCGATCTTCTAGGAAAAATAATGAAAGAATAATCAAAAAGCATCAAAAAATTGTGAAATATACGTTTAAAATCGTCCCCATATTATTTGTTGACTATTTTTGAATTTTCCCCCTGTAGGGGGACAGGCCCGACTTAAGGGTAGAGAGGGGCACACCTGAGACCACACCCGCGGCCTCCCGGCTTGCGCAGGCCAGCCGCCCGGCCATGCCAGCGGCCTCTTCGTCGTGGCCGCCACCTCGTCTCGGCCAGCTATAGTCGGAAGTTTTGCTTTTCCGGCGCCGCACATCACCAGCCCGCGGTCAAAGCCTGGGGAGAAAGGTGAAGTGGCCCAAGCCACGACGCAACGGAAGCAGCTAACTGACGCACACACACGCCGCACGAATCACAACGCCAGAGGAGACCAGCAGATTGAAGGCACCCGAACGATGATGAAACCGAGCTCCACCACGCTCACCAGGGTGGCCGAAAAGGGGCAATGACAAAGGAGGGCTTCGCGAATCTGCTGCAGCCAGTTTCCCGGGCGCCAAGGACGACTATGTAACGAGACATATGCCCAGCCTCGGGGCTCAAACCAGCTGCATACACCCCGGAGATCCGACATCCCGAAGAAATTGCAAGGCCGCAATTAATCACGGCCAGAGCCCTAGGCCCCTTCTCTCTGCTGCATCTTTCAAACCGCATCGATCTGTGATGATTCAAGAGCCCGAACAGGGCAAAATCGCCCGTTGCCAAAAATGCGACGCCAGGATCTCAGGGTACAGCAGGTTTCGTGACCCTCCCCTTTCCCAGCCCTCCCCCTTCGCCCCCCCCCGGGCTCTGCCGTGCCTCAACCAAGCCCATGGCCTTGCATGAGCTGCCGTCGCCAACCTCGCGTGGCCGCAGGAGGTGCCGCTGCAGGGCGCCTCGCGACGCGAGCTGGATCAGGCCAAGCCTGCCTGGAAGATACTCGAGCATGGCTACGAGGGAGACCCCGGGGTGGCCAAGAGTCTGCTCGACTATCTGCAAACTGCCGGGGCGGCCTGCCGGGCCGCACCGCTGGAGCGGCCAGCGAGCCTGAAAAAATGGGGCGCGGAGCCCTTCGCGACGGTGCGCTCCTGGCAGTCCTGGAGAGGCTCCAGTGCAGCCCCCCCTCTACACGCTCTCAAATTAGATATGTAATGTTAAGGCCGCCTTCGCCATGCCCTCTTCCTCCACGACGGCACAGACATCAGCAGGTACCCCGCAGAGAGGCAGCGGCGTGCAGCTGAGAGTGGCCGTGCGCGTGCAAGGAGAAAGACGGTGCGGCGCCGAGCGCGCGCGAATTCACACAGAAAAGAACATGCAGTAAACCATCAGGGCGCTCATGCGCACGTGCGACCTACGTCAAAAGAAAGAGCAAACAGGAAAACCTGGATAGCCCTGCCCAAGCACAACCCATCGTGCGTTCTCCCTGCGGCCAGACGCCCCGACGGCGCCACTCGGGCACCAGCCCGGCTAGATTAGATCTAATAACGTGCCCGCCGCGAAGGCGCGCGCGCCAGCCCGCGCGGAAATGTGCCACCCGAGCTTGCCCGGCACGGCTGACACACGTCCCAATGGCGTCGGCCGTGGCTTCTGGCACTTCGCGCGGGCCCCAGGAATACACACAACCACCACCACCTCCGCCTGCCCCTCCCTCCTCTGCCCACCCTCTCCCTCCTCCTCCTCCTCCTCCTCCTCCTCCTTCCTGTGAGGGGGAGGGGGGCGAGGGAGGTGGTAGGGGTGTACATCTTTGGGCCCCGTGCTTCCTGGCCCCTTCAATCCTGAACGGCCGCGGCTTGCCGAGAGAGCAGATCGCTCGGGTAGGAAGGCACCAACTATACACCAACACCGATCCTGGCCCCTTCAATCCTGAACGGCCGCGGCTTGCCGAGAGAGCAGCTCGCTCGGGCACGCACTGACCCCGGCGAGCGCAAGCTCGGGGCAAGCAGGGGGCCACGTCGCGAGCCCGGGGGCGCCTGCGCAGCGGCTCCCGCACCCCGGGCCGGCAAAAGGGCCCGGGGAGCGGGGCCGGGCTCCAGCCTTGGGAGGCCTGGAAGTGGGCACCAACACCAGATCCACAGACCCCCTCGAGCCATGAAAAAATCACGACGGGAGGTTCTTCATGATTTTTGGACTCTGGGGGCCCTTGCCAGCCCTCGGGACCGTCAAAAAACAACTCGGGACGAAAAACCGGTCCCAGGGAATTGGTCCAGACCGCTGGGGGTCGACGTCGTGAAAAATTGATGACGTCGCGGGTCTGGGTCAGGGGGTTGCCTCCACCAGGGGAAGATGGTCCTAGATTCTGGGGTTGGTGTCAACGTTTCGGCCATCTGGGTAGCACGAACATCACCACCATCATCGAGACCAGGATCATCTGCCCTCGGTGGAGGCACCCCGCCGATATTGGTGTTGGTGTCAACCTCTAGGCCTCCGACAGCTGGCTCCCAAGCGCAGGTCAGCTCAAGCATCATGGAGGGGATTGGCTGACCCCCACCGGCGCTGACCCCCGTTGCGTGAGCCCCGAATCGCTCGGTATCGGCCAATTCCAGGCCACTGGCGGCGTTCAACCTTGAACGCCCGCGCTTGGGTCGCCTCCGCAGCAGGGCGCCGCGAACCCTCCTCGTGCACGCCCGACGCCATCCGAAGGGGTCGTCAGGAGCAGGAGCGCGTTTCTTTATGTTCGGCGATGACGGGCGTCGTGGGGGGGGGGGG